ATTTGTAAGCCAACAACTGTTACAAGAACAAAATCTTAAGTTACTGAAAGTTACTCTCCAGAAAAACAATACCCTGTTGGATGTCTTAGCTACATATAAAGGTTTTGCCATGTCTAAAGAAACCTTTACGCAGAACTTAGACAACATACTACAGAGAGCAATAACAGATCATAATCGAGTATGCATACTAACAGGGGATACAAATATAGATTTGCTTAAAGTAGAAGAAAATGCAACAAGTAACTATGTAACTATGATGCAGAGTCATGGATTCATCAGCATGATAGATAAACCAACTAGGAAGATAGGAGATTCCAGCTCGTGCCTTGATCATTATTTTGTGAAATGTAAAAGTGAGTTGTTTAATAAAATTAATACAGTAATTTTAGAGCATAAGTTGACCGATCATGATCCAATTCTGCTCAGTTTACAAACAAATACTAAAACAGAGGCAATAAAAACAAGTAACACATATCAAATGATAGACTATGTTAAATTAACACATTTGTTGGACAGGGCAGAATGGGATGATGTTTATAATTTTTGGGACTCCAATGTATGCACAAATGCTTTCATTTTAGGATTGAAAAAAATTATTTCAGACTCTATGAAAATAAAAGTTATAACCTGTAAAAGCAAAAGATTAAAACCATGGATTACCAAAGGTATTTTAGTATCTATTAGGACTAGGGATAAAATGAAAAAAGAATGCACAATAAATAATAATAATAATTTAATTTATTTGAATAGGTATAGAAGGTATAGGACAATGTTGTCAAAACTTATTAAGAATGCCAAATATACTTACTACAAATTGCTTGCAAATAAAAATGCTAGTGATCCTAAAAAGTTATGGAATATAGTTAAGGAAGCTACTAATGATCAGATGGTTGCTTCTCAAATAAAAAATATAATTGATGGGGAGGGGCAAGAATTGACAGATAATAAAAAAATTGCAGATGAGTTTAATAAATATTTTTCAAATGTGGGAAAAAACTGGCTGACAAAATTATGGAAAATAAAGGAAACTTCCAATTCTTAGAAAATGAACCAAGGTCAACAAGCTCTTTTCTATTAGGTCCTGTATCCAATGTTGAATTGTCCAAACACATACAAAGTCTTAAAAATAATGTAAAAGGAGGGGAAGACTGTATTTCTTCATCCATTATCAAAAAGTATAAAAGTAGCATTTTGAGGCCATTACTACATATAATAAATGTGGTTTTCAGTACTGGGGTGTTTCCTGATTTTCTGAAGAGCGCAACAATAATACCGCTATTTAAACAAGGAGACAAAAAATTAATTAACAATTATAGGCCTATTGCATTAACGAGCTCAGTGAGTAAAATTATTGAAAAATGCCTAAAGGCCAAAATGATAACATTTTTGGAAACAAAAAAATTGCTCCATAAAAATCAGTTTGGTTTCAGGGAAGGCTCCAGTACTGAGAATGCACTTTGTAAGGTCACTGAATCAGTACTCCAAAAACTGGATCAAGGCAAAAAAGTGATTGGCATCTTTTTAGATCTGCAGAGGGCATTTGACACTGTGGCGCACCCGATTCTACTGCAACGCTTGGATCTCATTGGTATAAGGGGTACACCTAATAATCTTATTAAATCATATTTAGAACGCAGGCAATGCACCAAAATAGCAGGAGAGGTGAGTGAGCAGTTGCAAGTGGAGTTTGGTGTGCCGCAGGGTACAGTGCTTTCAACGCTCTTATTCAATATATATATATAAATGGAATATTATCAGTATTAGATGATGATCAGGGAGTAGTATATTGTTTTGCGGATGACTCTGGAATAATTATTTGGGGAAACAGCTGGGAGGGAGTAAAGAATAAAGCTGAATTCGCACTGCAGAGGATTAAGAGATGGATGGATTATAGTCTGCTTTCATTAAATGTAGTGAAAACCAAATTTGTTGCCTTTTCGTTTTCCTCTTGCAATTTACCAAACTATCAAAATTTGATATTACATGAAAACAACTGTATATTGGACCAAACATGCTCATGCATAAAACTGATAGAAAGAAAAGGTTACTTGAAGTACCTAGGAATATACTTGGATGAAAATCTTACATGGAAAGAGCATATTACATATGTTACTAACAAAGTGCGAAAATTGATATTTAAGTTTTATGAATTGAGACACATCCTTACTCTGGATACTCTGAGGACAGTATACTATGCCCTGGTCGAGTCAGTATTGAACTATGGTTTGGTTGTTTGGGGTGGTGCAGGGGTGACAATCTTAAACAAGCTTCGAGTAGCACAAAAATACATTATAAAAATCATGTTATTTAAAAATAGAAGATATCCAACAGAACTAGTATTTAGTGAAAGTGGCTTGTTTGATATACGACAGCTTCACTTAAAATCAATAGTGAGGTTTATGTTGAGGGTGCCTTATTACAAAGAAGCTATTAATCATGGAATAAACACGAGAAATGCTGCCCAAAAAGGTGTCATCAGACAAACCCCCAAGCATACCTTATGCCAATTCCATATCTATTGTTTGGGACCTAAAATATTCAATTGTCTACCAATTAGCATAAGAACTCAACCCTATAACAAGTGTAAAAAAGAAATAAAACTATGGATACTTCAAAGTGACTTTCACATTGAATATCAAATTTAGATTAATAACAAGAACAAATTCAACTCGTTAAAAAATTGTATTCTTGCTTTATGTAATACCATCAATAGTGTATTTTGTGTTTTTGTATTAGGGTATTTTTTTCATATGATTTGTGATTTATATAATTTTATATAATTTTTTAATTTTTTATTTGTATAACCTCGGGTGATATTCTTTAAAGTATAAGGATGCACACACGGTACTATAAGTACTATCGTGCACTAAAGTAGCTTAAGTAGGTCTAAATTATGGGTAAGGGAAAATTATATTGTAATTTACAACAGAGTTTATTAGTTTAGGACCAAACATTGCTTCTGTAATTTGTATCTTTGCTACTACCAATAAATAAATAAATAAATAAATAAATAAATGTTCCAGATTTTCCTATACCTACTAAAGCATCTAACGACCAATTTCATAATTAACTTAAAGTAAACTTTAAATATAAAGCTCCATTTGGAGTTGAAAAATCCTATCCTTAAAGTCTATTTAGCTAAAGTAACTTTTAATTCTCTATTATGAAATTGGCCGTAAGTATGGGTAAAAAAATTATTGATGGCAGACACTCCTTGGGCTAACGACTATGCACTATATATTTTTTTATCTGTGCGTGTTTTGTGGTGCTAACTTTACACACCCATTATTAATTTAATAACAATTCACAACAATGCATATTATCAATCATCATAGAATAAGAGAATTTCTCTAAATAGCAAAAACAAGCCAGTCCATTTTCGACCTATTATTACTAGATAATGATTAACTGAATGATTTACATATTAAATTAATTATTATTTCAACCAAAAATAGAATGCATTTGAAACGGATTGTGTGTGATAGTTTTGCTAATTTACTTTGTGGGTAACTTTGGCAACACTGTTTCTGTTTCCTTGTAGGGATTTTTCTAGTGGAAAATGGGAATCAAATTCTTCAGGATTTAATTAAAAAGATGTTTATGTATGGACTTGGAGTTTTTAGTGTTTGGCACATGCTCAGACTTTTTTGTACATCATTAATAAATAATCAAAGTAAGAGCAAGTTCTTCATAAACAATTAAATATTGATAAGGTATAAAATGTACTTTTCTCGATGTATTCCTCCCTTAAATAGGGAACTTTACAATTTTTTTTTAATTTTTTAAAATCATATGCGCGCGAATCTGGATGACGTCACGTAGTATGATTTTGCGTCACCTTGTCGCCAACGTCATACCTACTTCATTGTATTTAATTTGGTTGATTTCCACATTTTCCACCGTTATTTGTTTTGTCGTTGTTTTGGGTTGCGGCGAGTTGTACATTTTTAAGTTATAATGCAAAAAAAGATTCGCAGATACTTACTTTTACTTACTACTATAAACATATCACAAATTACAGATTGGCAGATTGGCCTTTGGAATTTCCTTCTTCGGTCATAATTAATAGGTATATCATTTTATTTACATAATGCTGAGCATGCAATCATTGAATTTAAGCTAAGTAAAATTTTAAAAAATCAGAGAAAAACGTAAGTAAACACAGCTAACGGGTATTTATTATGTAGAGTTCGAGTAAACGCTCGGAGTTGCTGTTTTGTTCTTTTATCCCTGTTCTTCTCATCATAAGGAAAAAAGACGGAAAATGATCCGAGCGCTCAGTGTTTCAAGACGAACTCACGGTATGATGGACGGTTGCTGACAGACACTGACAGATCATACTAGATGACGTCACGACCAGTACCAGAGCGTTTTTTCCCGCTGGAAATAATTTGAATTTTTCCGCATTTTTAATTCCTTATTATGGCCGTTTGCGACAAAAAAAAATTGTAAAATGCTACAGGAGTCCTATAAATTTATTGATCTATGTATGTAATGAATTTGTATTCCATAATAAATTTAACTTATATATTATATCTAACAATGAAGTTATTTCTAAGAATTAAAAAAATCATATACTACTCGCTACTTGTATAAAAGCCTCTGCTCCTTATGAGAGACCAAATATGGATTTTAGAGGTCCTTTGCAGACCATAACAAAGAGGAGATACATTGAGAGATACATCATATCCATAGTGAATGAGTTTTCACGATTTCTTTTCCCTTTCCCTTGTTCACATATCCATACCTATACCAATTCACACCGTATCCAACATCTTCAAGGAATATTTCCAATGTTTGGAATGTTAACAAGTCGATTAACGCTAATGGACAAGTGGAAAGATACAACTGAGTATAATCCAAAATAGATATCCTGTATAAATGCAAAATCGCTATATCAATTTATCATCAGTCTTCACCTTCCAATATTTAATTTTAATAAAAAAATAATCTTATAAATTTACATTCACCTTTAACCATCTTTCCAATTTCTGTTTCAGATCCACCCAAAATTTGGTCATCACCACAAAGAAACAAAACTAATAACACTGCCAGTAGAGTATAGCAGCTATGAAGACAGCAATATTTTACTATCAGTGATGCACTGCACCGAGCCGTGAAAGGTATAGGGAAGTTCCATTCCTCGGCTATCCGGACCGGATGGTCAGGATCTGAGCCGTTTGCCCAGCAAGCTAACCACGGTGGCTTCAGGCCCGGAGTGTGGCCCCGTGGCCGCCGATAAGGGGGCCGATTGTTGGTAAATATTATTTATTTATCTAAAAACTGTTTAGACGTCATTTATTGCTTGACATAAGTGTACCAATTAATTTTGAAAAGATTATTAAAAACATCGGTTTATTGTGGGTTTTTACTATTTTTATTTTTGGGGCTCGGTCTCAATCCCACTATTTCCGAGTATTTATACGTCCTGTAAATCAAAACATGTTTATTAAAAACGAAAGTAACACATAAAACGTTGTAGTATTTATGAAATGGCTTCACAAATGGCATCATTTAGTAAATAGTTTTTAAAACTCACATTATTGATTGAATTTATTAGTACAAATAATCAATAAAATTTACATATTGAAATAAAATTACTAACAAACATCACACAAGATGAATTGAAAGCAATGGAATTTAACATTTCATTCATTGACCCATCTATTCTAGTACTTATCTGAAATCGTACCAGATTATTGATAGAAAAGATCTTTCTGCATAATGCACCATTATGAGTGCTTCAAAATTGAAACTCTTAGAAAATAACAACTATTTGGTTTGGGTTGGGTGCCAGGAATTTCACTTTCCCTCAGCACTACAGACTCAGAAATTTACTTGGAAATTTAGTTCAAATGTGATAGTACCTACTTTGCTTACTAGATAATTCTAACAGTAACTAACACCATCACACAATACGACTCTATTGTCAAAAATTTACTGACAGGTTTCACTCGGTATAATGTGAATCACTCGGTGAAACACATTTGCCTTTAATTTGATTTTATAAGCTACATTACAATAATAGGCAAAATACCACAATATACAGATGTTATCCACAATTGTTAATGATTTGAGAAATCCCTAATATATGCAATAACATTGCATCTAATATAAAGAGAATCCAAAATATCCTGTTTAATTACATACGCCTCCCATTTTCATGTAATTCATGTAACTTATTTATAAAATATCATCTATAAACTTCATAATAACACTTTTCCTTTCCAACAAACACTTGTTTGCATGGGTGTTTGGCTTGGACTACAGCCCATTTTTCGATTCGAAAATTATTTGCTCAAGAAAAGATAATAGGTGTCTAAAGCATGTTTTGGAATAATTCGTAACATGTTCGATAATTGCATATTTACAATGCTAACACTGAATTTGGCGCGTTTCCCATTTTATTTGAAAAGTTATTTTGAATTATTGTTGAGGTTTTACTCGAGATTTTACGAGTGTATGGTTATTGTCAAGTAATGTGTCCCTAGTTTTTCACTGTAATTTTGGAAATTACCAAATATCTAAATATAAGTTTTTTGATTAAAGTGTTTTTGTGTCGTATAGATATTATGAAATGTGAAACTTCTCAGTGAATAGAAATAGGTACATTTCATTTCATATTAGAACGTCATTCGTCATTCTAAATGCACTGGGTAAGCCAACAGTCACTTTAAATGTTTTAGCAACATCAAACACTTTCCAGCTGCTTGCTCTGATGAGGGTCAACAGTAACCAAATATCTTTGTCGGCGTTTGAAAAAAAAAATCATTGAAATCCTCGATTTTTGTTGTGAGTTACATATGTTTTCGCATTTATTTTTAACTTTGTCAGTTCAACTCCATAAACAGGTGAGTTTCTCATTCACAATTTTAATAACAATTAAATTCCGTTTTTTTGAGATTGACAAGAAATGTCAGCATTTTTGACCGGTTGACAGGTCGCAAAACCCAATATTCTGGTATTTTAATTATGTTTCAATAGTTGCTAAGAAATCAATAAATAATAATACGAGAATCAGTTTTCCGGCCTAGGCCGGGAAAGTGATTCTCGTACTGCTGAACAATTGGAACAAAAATACAAACGTTTAACAGATATTTAACCGATCTCAGAAAAAATAGTATGTGTATTTCGGTGGAAAAGCACATTCTCGGCCTTCGGTGTTTGCCGGCCTCGGCTACGCCTCGCCCGTCAACTTACACCGTCAGCCGAAAATGTGTCACTTTTCCACCTAAATACACAATATACTATTATTTATGCTACCTGAAATCAAATAAGACGTGTTGCCATTATTTGTAAAAAATTCTAAAACTTTCATACAGATTTAATTATTAAGGAAAATGTTTTTCTTCCCACAAAAAAATTTTCAAGATTTAATTATTGATTGATAAATTTTACGCTTCAAAATACTAAAAATTTACATCGATACCTGTATACATACATTTGGTTTGATATTCCGCAATCGCTGCAATCTTATTTACAGTCCTTTACTCACCTCCACAATCCTCCCAATATTTTAGTAAGAATTCCCTGATTATATTTTCTCAAAAAAACTTTCCGGGGGTGAAATTCACTTTCGTAAAGGGTGACTAGAGTTAAAAATAGGTGTACAGTCTTTCCTTCGAACAAAGTTGACTGTTCCAAATCAAATTACCGTAACTATATACAAACTTCTGCTGTTCCGTTTGCAAATACGCCCAATGCAAACATAATCTTTAAGAGGCCTCACGTTCTCAAGTTTTTGTTGAGCGTTAAAGTGACATTTGGTTCCCTTTTGCATTTCGAAAGTAAAGTTTTTCGTGGTCGGTTGTGCATGTCTACCCTGTGTTTTTTTTTCTAATTTTTGGCCGTGCAGGTGGTCCCCGCTGGCGGCCATGGGCTGTTTTGGAGACCGGGATGCGGGCCATGCCAATGAGGACATACGATCTCAGAAACGTATCAGCGACCAAATCAATCGGCAACTAGCTAAGGAAAAACAGGTAAGAATTTTTTCCAAAATATCAATATTGCGCAATCCATCTGTGCTAATACCTAGGTATGGGAAGAAATTACAAGTTTTCTGGACTATATTTTTTGTTAATCCATCATTGCTCGTTCAATCAATGTATAATATTGCTTTTTATTTAGGTATACCGGGCTACTCACAGATTGTTGCTGTTAGGTGCCGGTGAGTCTGGCAAATCAACCATAGTAAAGCAGATGCGCATTCTCCATGTAGACGGTTTTAGCGAACGAGAAAAAAAGCAGAAAATCGAGGATATAAAAAAGAATATCCGAGATGCCATTATTGTAAGTGTTGAATTGATTTTTGGATTAAAATTGTTACAAAAACGCTTTTTAGACTATTACTGGAGCGATGTCAACTCTTAGTCCCCCTGTTCAGTTGGAAAAGCCCGAGAATCAGGTACGAGTCGACTGGATTCAGGATGTGGCCACCGGGCCGGACTTTGACTATCCGCTGGAGTTTTATGAACATACCGAAGCTCTCTGGAAAGATAGAGGAGTACAGGTATGGCATTTACTGAAAAAATACTCTGGCGTGAATTGTTAGAATGATATATTTTCATATCATCTTTTTGAATAACCTTATCATAAAATCAAAGTAGATTCCTCAATAATTTTCTTCTTTGAAGAAGCAAATTATCGCTTTATATTATTTCTAGTTTTCATCTTACTCATATATCAATAAAGCAATTAAATCCACTTGAATCACGTCAAAGATTAAATACCGATAATAACTATTTTATGCATTTTCGAATATTAATAATTTTACTCTATTTTTAACACAGGCTCGTTGAATAATGCACAGGATGACTCACGCACTTATTATTATTTTTTCGTGATTACCCAAGTGTAGCATTACAAACGATTTGTTGATATTGAAAAAAATTAGTTAGGGTTTTAAACTAGACAACAATGGGCTGTTTAAAATGGCGCTTCATCAATTTGTTTACCAAACGATTGTGTCACCTGCTAATGAAAACTGTTTTTTTATTGCGACAATTTTTATTAATGAAATCTTGTCATTGAGAATTTTATTACTCCAGAAAATGGAGTCTTTATTGACTGAAGTGTCAGTTCTTCAACGGATGTTGGATTATGGTGTTAAAAACCAATATACAGATGATCCTATGCTCCATCCTTTGGCTCAGTCAAATTTTGTTAGTGAAGTACTATAATAATAAACAAAATGTCTTCACCTTTAAATCATCATTCCCAAGTTGCTAGATTAAACAAATAGTATGGTAATCCAGGCATGAAATGGAATAGTTTTCACATTCCAACTTCACCAGTTACTTATATCAAGAAAATTTCATTTAAGGTAAATTCAAAAGAAGTAATATGTTGTGTTCAATATTATTCTAGAATCATTTGAAGATCCATATTAGGATCTTTTCTTATACTAGGAAAAGAGCAGATAACTTCAGTTTCCTTTAAAGCACAAATTATCTTGGAAGTCTTTCTTTTTATGAACTCTACTCAGACTTCGCCAGTGTTTTCATCATAAAAAACACACTATATGATTCAAATATTCAACTTCAATGTACATTTTTTCAGAAGACACTGGTTGAACTTAAAGAAAATTCTTGAGAAACTTTCCAATATTTACTTCGTAGATGTTAGAAGTTATTATGGCAATTCTAATTTCATTTGCAACTTCTTTGAACAATTATTGAAGAAAAAACATAAATGTTCATATCTATACCCAAATTACCCAACCTTGAGAGTTTAAAATTCTGCAAGTCTATAAGCCGTTAAAACAATGTCATCGGTGTGACGCAAATTATTGAATCGCCAATCAGTTAAGGCCTCAGAAAAAATGGTTTTACTGTATACTAAGTAGAGATCTGTAAACTATCCAGTCAATTATTTTTTCAGTCGACGTATGAGAGAAGCAACGAATACCAGCTTATCGACTGCGCCAAATACTTCCTGGACCAGGTGGACGTGATCAAACGGCCCGATTACACGCCAACTGAACAGGATATCCTGCGTTGTCGTGTCCTCACTAGCGGCATCTTTGAAACGCAATTCCAAGTCGACAAAGTCAACTTCCAGTAAGTACACTTTTACTTGATATGTAATCAAAATCTTCAATTTTGTGTCTCAAGAACCCAAAACTATATTTGATTAATTTCCTAGATTAAATATTACACCATTTAGAATGCCTCTTTATAAATATTTTTTTTCCTTTTAAGTATGTTTGACGTCGGTGGTCAACGTGACGAACGACGGAAATGGATCCAGTGCTTCAACGACGTGACTGCCATAATTTTCGTGACGGCATGCAGTTCTTATAATATGGTGCTGCGCGAGGATCCCACCCAAAATCGGCTTAAAGAGTCATTGGAATTGTTCAAGTCGATTTGGAATAATCGCTGGCTGAGAACCATCTCGGTGATTTTGTTTCTCAACAAACAAGATCTTTTAGCGGAAAAGATCCTAGCTGGTAAATATTCAACTTGGGATGTTGAATGGTAAAAAAAACTTTAATTGTTTGTTTTTTATCAGGTAAAAGTAAGTTAGAAGATTACTTTGCGGAATTTACGAGATATCAGCCTCCGCCGGAAGTACCTAATGAAAATAATGAGCACCCCGAAGTGTTTAGAGCCAAGTACTTTATCAGAGATGAGTTCCTGGTAAGTTGGAAGTGAATCTTGAGGATCAGAGGCTTTAGAAATTGAGTCCATTTGATGTTCACATGGGTTGTTTTCTGCATGGCTAAGGCCACTTTACAGTTCGCTATTTTTCTCCCTGCAAGTGTATTGTTGCTATAAATTTGTGACGGTTTTACCCCAATTCTTGATGCCATTTTCAGAATGACCAACCACAGAAATATTAACGAACATCAGCTGTTTTTAATAGGGCTTTGTTTGCTTTTTGTTTAGGTTTTAAAGTGATTCAAATTAGGGATCTAAACATCAGAAAAAGAAAAATGAATGCTGTTGCTGCTATTCTTCTAGCAACCTCTTATATTATCAAGTTTATTTTATGATAGGAGTTCTAAAGGTTAAATTCCCTAGTTTTTGGAAGGGTCAACAACGATTAAGTGAAGTAGGATAAAAACTAATTATTGTCTGGGAAAGTAACATTAAGCATTTGCCACGTTCTCCAAAACGACCAGTACGACTTTATAGTCCTCACTGAAAGTAGGCTAAATTCCTCTTTCAACAAATCCGAATTATTGCCTCCCCTCTACATAATATTCCGAGCCGATCGGGATTATGCAGCAACCAACAGGGATCGAGAATGGGAAATTTCAATAGTGCTAGGCAGCAACTCCCAGTCTTCGATTATACCGACTGCAAATTTCATTGAATTTGAGCAAATATGAATCTACTGTATCTGTCACAGTCGTGAGATCGTGATTCGAAGTTTCTCTGTAATGATTTACAGGTCATTTGTATGTAATAGTATGTAATTCCTTATTTATTTCCTTCTTGCCAACGAAATCAAAAACATGAAAAAGCAACGTCACAAGTTTTTGTTGAGTGCAAAAGCATCCAAACACACATACAAAAATTGGACGTCAATTATCACTAGCTAACATCACAAGTTAAATTTTAAAAAGTAGAAAAACAAATTTTTGCATAAAGATAGAAACTATTAAAAAAATCAATTATAATAATTATAAATTGGTGAGAAATCAAAGATACAACAGTCTAATAATTGAAAGAATAAACACATTTATTTTTGCAAACTGTAAGATTGCCTTTTTGAATTTTCCAATGTCCTATTTCCAATCTCAGCAGGCAGAAGTCTGTAGGCTTTGATACCCCTCGATGAACAATAGATATACTAAAAATTAATAAATAATCTCTATTATTAGCTTTAAGCTAGCAAAAATAAACATAAAGTACATAATTTAATAATCATTTTATAATTTAACAATTACACAGGTATTGTATCTGCTATAAAGAAACAACATCTTCTAAATTTCTTTGAATTAGGAAAATGCCTAACATCTTTAGATAAATCATTGCAAAGCTTTTAATCCATTATGATAACCATTTCTTTGATCAAAGTTTCTTGGGACAGTGGGAATATAGAAATTGTCTGCATTTTTAGTGTTTCGGTTGTCTACACTGGGAGCGGGTATACAAAAGTCTTGTAGATTCTCTGGTAAGGATCCCTGGCAATTTTTTTCATCCAGCCCTCCTTTGGACGGCAAGACTGAAAAATGGGTTTCAAAAATTTTACTGTAAAGAAAACGAAAGAATATTTTGGAATTTTCATTCTCGATATTATTACATATAGATAGGTCACGGTCCCATTGTGACAAACAAATAGGACTTGACGTTTTTTCTTCCCTTAATTGCTCCTTGCATTACATTCCATTATCTTTTGTCTGTCAAATGGTCTGTCAGGTGACTACTCTTATGGCTAAGATGTTTGAGATAGGTAGGTTGCGTGATGATAACTGTATGACGTCATCTGGGGTACCTATTCCTGGCAGGAAAACTGAGGTCCGAAAGTAACCACTTTTCCAGGAACTAGAGTAATTAGTAATTAGATTACTTTTGGATCGCTTTTCTGTCGTTGTCACATCTTTATTTTTGGTTGAGGAGCGATGATTAACCCTCAGATTTGACTGGATTTGACTCATTTCCCAAAATCATAAATACTTGCTTCTTGATGTTACTAAATAAGTACCAAGGTCGTGTGTATAAATCGTGTAATTGTGAGACGAAATCGTGTAAAACTATGTAATTTAACCAGCATATCGTGTAATTTCACAAATTCAGATTGGCAACACTGCATTCTCAATTAAACGGTCACCAGTGGTTTCGGACCTCACGCATAATATTCAGTTTAAGGCTATGGTCCGAATATAACCAAATGTTAACCAAAGGTTAACCAAAGTAACCGATCCGGTTGACAGATGGTTACTGAAAACAATGAACTATAACCAAAAACTGGAATGCGTACACATATTGACGAACGTGAAGCCTAGTGCCGCTGCTGCGGAGGGGATACCTGTTTTTGTCGTACTCATTATGTTAAATGGCGGAAATTGCTTCCAACACGTATTCCAATTGATGAAACCTGTGAAGGTAAATATGACAAAACTTTCCAAAACGTCATATGTCAGCGAGCAACAGAAAAAAACAACATTCCCCTCTGTGGCATCTGTCTTTCATGGCTTCATTTTTTTGGCAGATATGGCAATGTGTGCGCATTCCAGTTTTTGGCTATAGTTCATTGACTGAAAATTCCGGTTACCTAGGGAACACGAAAATGAAATAAAAAATTGTCGACAGAATTTACAGATAAAACCAACAGAACCGACATCTGATAGTCGGTAACTATTTTGACATTTGGTTAACCCCTAGATTATATATAGTTAACACTAAAAGATGAGTAATCAACTTCCAAATATGGTACAAAGATCTCTCTCCAAATATTTTGATTTTGTCTCTCTTACTTTGTTTACGCTGGTTTTCTATAGTACGATTTCCAAAAATCCGTTTACATTTTGGATCTTTAGACATCTCTCTCTAAGGCAATATGTAAACGAAAAGAACACTATACAAGTCTAGCTAAACAGAGTATATTGTTTGGGTGGTTCCCAATAGCAACCGATTGCCGTATCTGCGTAAATGTCAATATATATTATTGTGTATTTATTTTATCGACTTTTTTGGGTGTTTCCAGTGTTTCACTGCTTTAAAGTGGAATTGTTTAAAAATTTATTATTTACATGTTTATACATTTTGTGAAAGTTTCTTATTCAGGATTCAAAATGACTAATAAGTGTGCAGTGTGTCAGAAAAGAGGAAAACCAGCGGATTGTTTATCATTTCACCCGTTAGTAAACAAAACTTATGACATCGACATGATTGAAGGGAAAAAAAACAGTGTCGGAGGTGCATGTAGGCCACAAAAATACAACATGGAACTCTGACCTCGACAAGGTTCGTGAAGAAATCCACAGGCTCTTTAACAGGGCTATACGGTTTAAATCACTACTAGCTGACTGGGACAACCACAAGCAGTCTCAGCGCAGATACAAAAATCTTAAGAGAAGATCCAAGAGTGAATCGTGGAAAACGTTTTGCGGAAACGTAGACGAGCTTTCGCAGCCGCCAAGCTCCAAAAGATTCTTTCGAAAGACCCAGGACGAGAGCTGAAGTCACTAAGACTTCCCTCCGGTAGTTATAGCGCTACCCCAGAGGAGGCACTTATGGTTGGCTGCTGGAAACACACTTTCCAGACTGGGCCCTCCACTCATTCGAAGCTTTTAAGTGGGTTGGGCTGGGCTGGAATTACTGACTCCGCACCTAATGAGCCTCTTTAGGGCCTGCCTCGCATATGGTCAAGTACCACTTTCCTGGCATAAGGTTTAAGTTGTTTTTTCTTACATATTTTAATTTTGTATTTCTATTTAACACTATTTTTTAGTATTCCGGATAATTTATGATATGGAAAAAACATGGTTAGGAGCATTAAATTTAAAATCCAGCTCAGTAAGCAAATGGACGTATATTTCAGCAGACCATTTTAGCATTGGAGACTATAGATTTTCAAAAACTGATGCTAAAATTTTTAAAGCCCCTACTGTTTCTGTTATTGCAAGCACCAGCGCTTCTAGAGTACTGTCCAGGTTGAGGGGTACTTGTCGAGGTACTCGTTCATAGGTTTAAGTATGTAAAAAAAAATCATTAATTTTGATTTTAGAGTGAATGAAATGAAATTCGCTCTGACTGGTTTGTGATTTCTGCAGAAACAGACCTATTGTTTTGGTCCCACCTCATGTATTTTTTTTTTTGGAAACAGTCCAGTTTGCTTTCAGTTTAAGTGCTCGAATTTATCATTTTTAAAACTACCTTTTTCTGGAATTAAATATATATTTCAAAAAATGATTTTTTTATGGGTACGCTTATGGGAGCCTTTGCTTCTAATAAAATACCTCTACGTATTTCTTGGGAATACGTAGAGATTCTTAACACATATTTGTGCCACCTTGCTCCGATGCTTTTAGATAGGGCGTTACCTATCTTGTCACGTTACTAGATATTAAATCTATGGGTTAACCAGATTTCAGGAAACCAAGGTCCAAAAGTAACCACTTTTCCAGGTACCAGAGTAATTTGATCGCTTTCGGACCGCGAAACCACAACCCTGGTTATATTCGGACCACAGCCTTAATATTGTTTTAGATAGTTTTTATGATGTTTTTGTCAAATATATAAATTTTAAAATTTTATCATTAATCTAAGACGCGTCGGGCCTACGGCCCGACCGGCCCACCGGGCATTTGCCCGGTTGCCCGGTCATTCCATCCAACCCTGGCCCCTATTTTTCATCATCATAAACTTAGTCTTTTCAATATTTAATTTCAGATTATTGTATTGTATTGTATTGTACCACCTTGAAATGGATTTGTTCTTCGTTAATGGTTTTGACTTTTTGATTATGTGTTGTGATCATTTCCAATGAAGTACAACAATGTATCATCTGCAACTAGTTGTATGTTACAATTTTTTGTCCATTTTTCAATGTCATTAATGCAGTTAATGAACAAATCTGGCCATCACAGTCCCTTGTGGCACTCCCCGTGTAATTTCCCTACTCAATGATTCGGTGTTGCTACTTCCTGTTTTCTGTGTTCTGTTCTGTAAAAAACTTTCAATCCATC